TACGGCCTACTCGAGTTTGCTTTGAACTTTTGCCCATAATGAAATGCCTTGGTCATTTATTTTTTGCTGCACCTTACTTCCTATCAGGTGACGGAATTCTTGTGTCTGGAGATGAGAATGAAATATGTAAAAAGAATTTGGAGTAGATGGTGGTTAAGATATTGCTATTCAGAAAATGCGAACACATCAGACTGAACTAAGATATAGACTTTTAAAGTTTTAGATAATGACCAATCTTCACACCAACGTACTAAAATATCTAATATATTTCTGATCTGCTCGAGCATTTCACAGGGAAAGTGAACTACTACCGCATCTGGGTCAAAAATCTGATAGCGCGACTTTCAACTATGTCCACGGAAATACGCAACGCCTGCATCCCGCCGCGTCACGTAAGCGATACCGTTCGGAGCTGGCAAAGACGGCTGTATCGCGTTACTGTTTCATATTGTTCAGCTTGCCAAAAGGACACATTGTACCACGAATAGACGGTGACACGGTCAGGAACAACCGCTGGTTCAGATTATTACCACACAAATTCAAGTCAGAAAATTGAGGACACTCACCGAGAGTATCGTACGATTTTTCTACTCACATGGTATTGTTTTGATATCATTACGAGCTAAAAATAAAATAAATAGCAAAGGCCCATGTTAGATATTATAAGAATATATATATATATAGGCCTATATATATATATATATATATATATATATATATATATGTAGCGATTAAAGATACGAAGTAACCAAGTTCATGTGCTATTGTTTTATTTCTATATATATATATATATATATACATATATATATATATATATATGCCTATTGTCATTAAATTAGGTCAATGTTAATTCGGATCGGATAACGCGTACAACGACGTAATTGTGGCGATAACGCTGCAGATTATGGCCAAATTGTACCGTGAAATTAGCTGAAATTTTATTTTAAAAAAGTTGAACGTAAAACCTTCAGGTTATAAAAGGTACGGTAAGCTGATAGATTTCCTTAGTCATTATACACATCATCCTCACCAAACCAAAATAATGTCCTATAAATCTGTGTGGTGCACAAAAAGATACAATAGAAGCCTGAAGATATAAACAGACGGAAATAAACACAATTGGTTTTGAATTTTTAAGAAATCATTATTTCCCCTTCCTTATCCATTCTTAAATCATTGAATACAGCCACATCTCCATATTTTGAGAAAAAAAAACAAGAACACGAAATACAAGCAAGTCATGAGGAAGCGATATATTGTAACAACAAAATAAAACACAAGTGTGATTGTTTGATTGACTGATTGATTGACTGATTGAATGAATGACTGATTAAATGAAGAATTGACTGACTAACTGATTGCTTGATTGATTGATTAAATATTTTAAAAATAACAAGAAAAAGAAATACAAAAATTCATGAGGAAGATGTGGGGGAAGTTTACTGTATTGTACCAACAAAATAAACCACAAGTGTGGTTGTTTGATTAATTGATTGAATGATTGACTGACTGACTCACTGATTGATTGATTTAATATTTTGCGAAAAAATATACGAAATACAGTACAAACAATTCACGAGGAAGACGAGGTATAATATTGTACCAACAAGATAGACCACAAGTGTGATTGTTTGATTGATTGATTGCTGGATTGATTGATTGATTGATTGAATGACTGGTTGACTGACTGATTGATTGACTGATTTAAAGCATGAATGAATGAATGAATGAATAAATGAACGAATGATTGATTGACTGACTGACTTTCTCCCACATCCAATCAATCATCAGTGAAAATACTTGAATGAGATTTCTTAAAAAGTCGCCAAACGGTGTTGCCTTTGCATTTCCAAGTCACGCCACTCCATAGTCTTCGTTGGAGGCAAATTTTACACAAAAACGAAGCATTATGGTTTTTGTGGATTCGTGATATTTCGGAAGTTTAATCACCGATTTTCTTTTTTCGACAGCAGGGGGTGTTTTAAATTGCTGTCTCTTATACACATCTAGATGTGTATAAGAGACAGATATTAGGCCTCGTTGGAGGTAAATTTTACACAAAAACGAAGCATTATTCTTTTTGTGGATTCGTGTTATACGGCAGTTTAACCACCGATTTTCTTTTTTCGACAGCAGTTAAAATGAGAACACAACCCTAAAAGCTCGTGGACCGACATATTACATTTTACAGTACTTGCTGCTGCTGCTACTGACACTGTTAATACGAAAGTATCATACTGCAAAAAAAAAAAAAAAAAAAAAAGACAAAAAAACAGCGTAGAAGCTTTAGACATAAAGCTCCATCCCACTTTTGGTGACACGTTTAAAAGCAGAACGAGGCATAGGCCTACATTAGTGCTTATGGTTCTTGAAGCGTTTAGAACTATGTGCTTAAGTATTTGATACCATAATGGCAAACATCTAAACACACTTTATTGTTAAACACGTCATGGAACCTAAACACAAGTGGTTACCCTAAACACGTTCAGTTTTTAAACGTGTTACCAAAGTGGGACAAAATTGATTGGAGCATAATTGTGTCTAAACCTTCTACGCTATTTTTACAGTGTACTACTACTAAAACAACAATGACATAACAAAATGTGTACGAGTGTTTCTACTCAAGTGCTCATCACATGACAGCACAACCCACGGCGGACTTGGATGGCACAGTTCCAACGACATTAGCGGACGAATAGACGTTCGAGTTCCGAATCGATTGACTGGACAGACGTCTAGAAGACAGATCATTATTGTTAGTTTCCCATTGAATTAAGCAGAATTTACTGTATAATACACAAGTATAAGCAAAGGCTTACCGTGACAGTAAACAGGAAAACCCGCTATGGCAAAAAGGAAAATCAAACATTTCGTTGTATTCGAAAGTTTACTTACATATATTCGAATAAACGCCCTGGAATGGGTTTTGAGGAGGCGTTTTGGAGGGAGGCGCTTAGTATTTTTTTAAAGTTTAAAATGGATACGTGTATACTAAAATAAACGCCCTTCATTCACTGAAAATGTGGAACTACAACTCATAATTACCGTCAAAATGTGTTATTGCAAGATCAAAGACATTAATCCCACAAATGTGATTCTACCGGAGTAGAAACTTAGCAGAATGTGATGATAATGATGTTTCTTCAATACTGTATTGTTGATGAGATAAAGAAGTCCTGATGCCCAGCTGACTGAGCAGTGCTACTCTCTTGCTTGAAGCTTGAAGAGATGGTTTATTTTAAAGGGGGGGGGGGGCGTTTATTCAAATTACGGTATTTCATTTATTAAATTTCTTTACATTCACTCAAGTTACAGGATAGACCATGGAAGATTATAGTAAACTATATTATTATTAAACTATAGTTTACTATAATACCTCAATGGATAGACTGACCTTCATAGTCTCTTCATGAGGCTTACGGAGTGGAGTTGTTTGTGTTGTGAGGAAAGTCCAGCTGCTGTCACGGGAGTTGAACCCAGGACCCTAGAATTAAAAGAAGAATCTTAACCAACAACGCTTTAATCTCTTTTGGGATTTTATTCCACTGGTTTTCTGTATTTTATTAATATTCAAGTAATACATAAAAGCGTACCGTATGTATATATGGCTATTAAGTAACAGTAGTAGTCCATCTCAGACGATATTGTAGTTGTAGTAGGCCAAATTATTTTCGGCTTGGCATAATGCCAGATAAACTGACTCTTAATCACTCTCCCTGTACTGGTGGCTGGTCTGATAAAATTGATTCAGTTAATTGGCATTCCTCGTAATACAAAAGGTCGATGGAATTCATAATAATTGTATTCATACATTTCATTGATGCATGTCACGCAGCCAACTCTCACATGACGTTTGTAGAAACATGCGCGGGCAGACGTCATGGGGATCTAGTAAAAATTGTTAGCATTTTTTCGACATCCTTTTGGAGGTGTGTGGTAGGTGTGACGCGGTTTGGTACCAGTCACGTGGGAACTGTCGACCAGTGCCAAGCATATGACACTCACGGGACAGGCTTGTGATGATGATGATGATGATGATGATGATGATGATGATGATGATGCCAAGTAGAATATTTGGTTTAGAAGCCGATGATAATATGATTGAATGATCCTGAATAATGATGCCTATCCAACCCAACGTGAAATGCGACAATGAATGTCGTAAAGAAAATGAATCCAATAATATTGATTGGTAAAACATAAATAACGCATATTGAAATGCGACAATGAATGTCGTAAAGAAAATGAATCCAATAATATTGATTGGTAAAACATAAATAACGCATAATTAAATTACACGTCAAAAATAGGACTTTAAAGATTGAAGTAAATGACGACAAATTTTTTTTTTATATATTACTGTAATAATCAACATTACTATAACAATTAGGCGATAAAGGCAATAAACCCTGTCACAGTTTTAAGTGCCATGGCTATTTAGACAACCAGTCTAATATCGGTTCCAAGCATATCTTTAATAATAATACAATAACTGTTGAACTTCACGGTCGTCTATAGTATTCTACGGCAAGCCCCAGCTGTCTTAAGTGTATACAACATGTATTACATTATTAATGTTTGGTATTATATTTACTTTTATTCTATTATTTACGTACTATTATATTATTACGATTATTGTTATATTTACGTCTATTAGTATATTATGTACGTTTATTAATATTATTATATAATAGGGGCATATGCTTACTATATGTGTTTAGTACTCAGTATATAGGCCTACGTGTATTATTATATTACGTGCCTTTATTATACGTACGTATTAATATATTATTATATTACGTACATTTATTATATTTTAGTATTATTATCTCCATTATTATGTTATGTACGGTACCGTACGCTTGTTACATTAACTGGCGGGAAAACAAGACAAGCTGCTGTTGTGTTTTTCCTAGTCAATATTCCAATTTAGTGAGAATCATCCGATCGATCGATTCTAATTATAGTTTCCAGCAAAATTTCCGAGCATTTTTATTCGCCTCTGAGAATTAGGACAGTCAATGAAGTAAGTGTGATGGATGCCTACCGGGGTAGGTAGACACATTACCTCATCCTCAGGCAGGCCGGCCTAATTTGCTGATACTTTTTGCCTCCTGTGGCAACTTTCACACTTGTCCAGACTACTGACGAAACTTTGATTCTGTTGAGATACTTCTGGTGACTTAATTGTTAGGGGGAGGGTGTGGGTAGGCAGGGCCTCCGTCGGCAAGAGCTTCCCCCTCCCCCGGTCAGAGAGAAAAAACACAACTCGTTGGGGAGAAAAAAACTTAGGCCTATATGTAATTTATTAGTAGACTCTAAAATTTAGACTTTTCGGGGGCTTCTCCCCTGGATCACATTCCAAAAATTCCGACGTCCGACCACGCCCACTTTGCTAAGTCAAATTTATCAATATTTCTTAGCTTAAAAATTGCTTAAAATTAAAAAGTCAGCTAAGCTGGGATTGATAAATCACGGGCCTGTTTCTTAAAAATGTTTCATTAGGCCTACGGGCCTGTTTCTTAAAAATGTTACATTAGGCCTACACACAGGGTATTATACTCTCGAATGAGAGCTTAGCAATAGCCTGGTTTCCTTAAAATTGCTACACTGTCGCTACGAGTGTTTTCAGTGCAATCAGTGCACTACGTCCTACAGTCCTTGACGCAACCAAAAAGGCTCCATGATTCCACCGACCAATCAGCATCACCGAAAGCTGTCGGTGATTTAGTGGCAACGGGGCACGAAGGGTACGTGCACCACCACTTTGCTACTAAATTTTAAAATTTCAATGCATATATTGAAATCAGCGCTACTAACTTATATATTCTGAATATGTTGTGCCCCCCGTTTGAAAAATTCTGGATCCTCCCCTGATAGAGTGTAGCGGTATGGGAATCAAGCTTTAAAAAATCAGGTTTGGTCCGGTGCTTCGAGAACGGTGTTTATTTGAGCATTTACGGTAATTGAAATATCTCCCAGCACGTTTTTGTTTGATATTTTATATTTTGATCTGATTTGATACTTTGATTACTGTAATGCTATTTTGTGTGTGTCGGTCGCAGATCAGTAAATCGTTTTACCTCATGAATACATTATTCTTATTATTATTCGCCTTGAGCACCATTGGTGGAGATATGCCCTTTATAAATCTATTATTATTATAGATCTGCTTTACTTTACTGCAAGTAGGATGGTACAGTATACTGCGTATTTTTTACCCTTTCCCTTTCTCTACAAGGTATATCATTTCCGTTCAGACTGATTTATAGAGTAAACTTTCTTTAGTCAGGTAATTAGGTAGGCTTATACTTTACTACTCTCTTAGTGTCACGGCAATGATGCACTAATAATATTTTTTCCGCCCGTTTCTACAGCAATTACAGAATGCACCTTTAAGTTTTTAAGTTTGCCATTACATTTATGAACAGATTTGCTAGTGGTTCAAGTTCTAAAACATACTGTGGCTATTAATTTGCATTTACATAAGATAATATGCCTATTTCATTCATTTTTAATGAACGAGAATATTTACGCTTTTGTTTATGATTTGATGTTTCGATTTTTCAGTTTTGTTGCTTTGTTTAAAATATTTTTTTTGTGAAGTGAAGATGGCAACAGGCAACCAATATTGTGTCAATATAAAGTTGCATTCACTTAGAATCCGAACCCTCTGATCGCGTTTCCGATGGGCTGAACGCCAGCGTCCTCTTAAACACTGATTCGCGCTTTGATACGGTTTTCTGTGGAAGTCACTATATAAATATATGACCATTGACCATTCGATTTTGTATTTTCCCGATCGGTTCGGTAGGCATTTTGATCGGATTCGGTGTGAATGCAGTTGAAGAAGACATGAGTGTCTAAGCAGGTTGTCAATCATCTGCGCGTTACAAAAACCGGTGACGATCAAATTATTCAGGAAATCGTAACAGGTGTATAATAACAGAACTTAAGAAAAGAAAAGTGCCATTCTCAGCAGTTTACGTCACGATCACGTGAATCAAATTCTGGCTATAACAGGGTGCGTCACAACCAAATACAACGTAAACCAAACGATGTTTAATAGGACTCCATATCATATCGACTCACCGTAACGCGCAGGACGAAATTGTTACTTTAATTCCGGTTTACTCTAACATGACCTACGGTACCTGTCACGGGTAGGCCTAATGTAAATGATGTGCCCTTAAAATTTAGTATTCCATAATCCATTGATCCCAAAAAAAATTATCGAATTTCCATACCGTAATTAAAATTCAAACGCTGGATAGCAGCGAATTATTCATTATGGTATGACGTCACTCAGGTTTACGAATACATTCTCAAGTTAGCGTTCATCTAAGTGATGTTTATATTGAGAGGGAAGTGATAATTATAGAAATTATTCTTCAGCACTGTGCCGTCTGAAACAACAAAATATGAAAAGTGTCGTTTAATCTTCTTTGGAGAGATTACGTCTTAGTGCCATCATGGCGCGGTTTGTCGAAGAATGTGACCTGAGTACGTTTTTATGTATTACTATTTCAGCATTTATGACGACAATTATGATCTAAAACACAAGTCCGAAAATTTTGATAATCGTAAATCGTAACTCTTGTTACAGAAATATTATGATTAGGCTCAAAGGCTTAAACTTTTTTTTGTTATTAATACGATCTAATACAGCATTCTGAGGCTAGCTTAATACATTCTAAACCTGCGGTATGATGTGAGCAATACTTTCTAACCACTACACTCTTTCATTCATAATCAAACAAGAAATTTTGTATCGGGCCGCTGACATCGATCCGCAAACATACACATCCGTTACGGTTAGCAAGTGTACATAAGTTACTCGAAAATGGATGTATGCTAGGCCTATAATAGGCGTATGTAAACACCTACCATAATCCCTAACACAACATGGAAAAGAAACATCCGGTGTTCATGAGAACTTTTTCTTCTGGCCACAACTCATACATCATCATCACAATCAATTCGTATCGGCAGTGTCAATCCACAAATAAAAAAAAATCACACCTAACCTCCAAAATAAACATCAAATAACATCCGGTGTTCAGAGTTCGAATTGCCGGATACAGTAAGAAACCGTCTTACAATCACACCTAACCTCCAAAATAAACATCAAATAACATCCGGTGTTCAGAGTTCCGTCTTACAGTAGTAGTAGTAGTAGTAGTAGTAGTAGTGAGAGTGGAGGGGAGGGGAGGAGCAGGCGAAGCAACTATCCTGGGCCCGTGCTACATTGGACCCAAGCCACTTGGTGTCAAAAGAATGATGAAAAATATTAATTTTGGACGAATGTTTAAATATAGACATAAAATACAAACTGTAAAAGGTCATAGCTGGGGATATATCACCAATCTTAAAGCCTGTCACACCTGACTCCACCGGGTCCCCAATTTCGTTCCATTAACCACTCGATTGGGACTCAACATGCTGGTTTAGACAGACCGTGGTTACAAACACTTTAAATTAGTTTAAGATAAGCAAAATAATAATAATAATAATAATAATAATAATAATAATAATAATAATAATAATAATAATAATAATAATAATAATAATAATAAAGATTTATAAAACGCACATCTCCACCAAAGGCGCAGTGTCAATTACACCACAAAATCCATAAAATTCCCAGAAGAATTTCAAGCAAAATACAAATACAGCTCTCCCTCTAATTAAAGACCCATCCCAATTAAAGACCATTTTCTGTGCCCCCACCCCATATTAACAAATGTCTTTTGACCAAACCTGCTAAAGACCATGGAAACCTGGTCTCAAAGTGGTCTTTAAATGGAGGGAGACCTGTATATCAATAACCCCTCCAACTGAAAATGGTGTTTTACTGTACCGCGATAATGAAGTTAATATCGATGGCCATATGACGCCTTAGGCCTATTGACAAGTCAGACGTGATTTAAAAAATTTTTTCTCACCTTCTCCGTCAACAAATATGTAGCCTAATCAATCAGTCAGTGAGTCAAGCAATCGATCAATATCTGACTGTCATTGACGGTCGAGTTTCATAGAAACTAACAGTAACACTATTAAATAAATTAAATCTGAGGAAATATAAATATATAGTTTTCTCAGATTAAATGCGTTAGGTTTATAGAATATTCCAGGCATATCATGTAAATTGGTTCCCCCATGGTATCAACGTTAAATGCTTCTATTTTTCCCCTCCAGATTTCCATTATAACACATCAAGAATTTTGTGATCAATCTTTAAAACTCATAGCATTTACCTGTATACAAATTAAAGTAAAAGTTTAGAGGCGGAGAGTGACGTAAATGGTAGCAGATTTGTTTAATCTCTGAACACAACCACCTTGGTTTGCATTACCCAAGATGTAAACATTATGTACGTATCCCCACGGTAACGTGTATATAACGTACTGGATATTTGCTTTTCTTTATTTATGCAAGTTTTCAAATCAGAACCAATCTCAGGCTTTGGACAAGACGCTCAAACCAACGAATTAAAGGCCGTGTGCGGTGGCTTCAACTGATACCTTGAATTGTGAGCGCAGCCACAATCACGGGTGGAGCGTTCAGAATACTGTACAATATGTTTACTTTTGTTCAAAATTCAAAATGATGAATGGAGGTTTGACATTATCTATGACCGTGACGTCGGCAGATTATGAGCCGGCGCGGCCACTCCTCGTCTTATGCCGTGCAGGTTAAATAAAAAGCTCTGATACGGTAGCCTAAGAAAAAATTATGTTTTGGAAACGCACTAAAGCTGTTTACGAATGGAGTACATGTTTCTTTCGGTTTATATAAATATATTTGCTTTAATTTGGTCTATCTTTTTTGTAAACAGACTTAATGAGCTAATGTGATATGAGATTTAAGAAGAGAAGGATGCACAATGCATAAACGATTTCTGTATTAAAAAAATACCCAAGTAAAGGTGGTGTCGCAAACCTTGTGACAGTCTTATTCACCTCTTAAAAAATAAAAAAAAATAAAAAAAAAAACCTTCACTGGTGTTCCTCGTGCGTAAACGTGTCTAGGTAAAGAAGACGGATCTAGCCCGAGATTTAGCGTGCACGTCAAATGGAGGCTTCGGCGTGAGCTTCTTAAGCAAATGGAGTTTTTACTTTTATTTAGTTAAAGCATGGTACTTAGAGAAAATATGGCATCAATGCGGTCTTTGTTTAAGATTTTTAAAACAGGAACTTAAAGAGCCAAATACTACGGTTTTAATCCATGCGAACACCTAAACATTCCCAGGGTGACAATAACACATACAAATGTATATAGGCACAGTATTTTCATGTCTAGAAGTGAAAACCAGACAAGATCTGTTATGTTGTAGGCGTACCATTTATCCATTAAATACGTTACACACAATTCCGTGGTGATTGTGGACACTTCAGTTTGTTTTTAACTAATTAAATAGTTAATGGTTACTCGTAGGCCAAAATCAACCTCACCTTATAAAATCAGCAATCAGTGTTGGTCTATTGTTGCTCTGTTCCGGCCAACCAATTGCTCAAATTGCAACTTCCACTGGGTACCACTACGTTTATGGCTAGTTACATATAAAGTAGTTGTACCGTGATTTAGCGCTATCCTGGTTTAAAAAGGTACCACTGTAGAGGACATCAAAAATCACCCACCATATACCGTAGTCTATATAAATAGTTACTGTATTGTATATATAACTTTCATTACGGTAGCTAACATAAACAATAACAAGGGTTTCATGGTTTCATTACAGCAAAGGCCTCAGGGACTCGAAGTCGGACTCTCGGTTCGGAGCCTCCTGTCGGCCGCGATATGACGGACCCCATGCCGGCAAAATTCTGCCTCATAGGCAATTGTCATGGCCGTGTAGAGGGCGCTAAAATCGATTTGGAATTATCGTCAATTGTTAGGTCAGTACTTTCGCCATCTGCTTTCATTAGTTACATCATTGATTATCCGTTTTCCAAACTTAGGCCTGCGCTACAACCAACTATTCATGAATACATTCCTGAATGCATTTATTGAAAATGTACTCATGAATACTATTCAATACACTTTCAATTAAGCAAATCGGAATTTGTATATTTCTGTACACCGCACACTTAATGAGTTACAGTATGCAAATAATTATCATCTCACGTCAGTAGATATGGAATTATGAAAGAGAAAACTATTATATTACTCTATAAAACATTTACTGTGTTAAATAATGATTGTAAAAGTATATGGGTGTTCCATCAAACAGCTCTATTAATTATAATAGTGGTGATGCTTTATGCTATTAATTATAAGCCTAGTAATGACACTCACTTGCCCCATAGCAATTAGTTGTAACAACCTATCAGGCGCAGATCTAGTAGGGGGTACGTTCCCCTGTTTTGCTACAAAATTTCAATGCAAATCAATGTTATGTGCCCCTCCCCCTTTTTAAAAATTCTGGTTCCGCCCTGCCTATAGAATAATATACCATGCTACCGTCTTTTCTATCCTCTTCATCATCACACTATTAATGACCATCCTCATTTTAATTATACATTTAAAACTTAAATGATATTAACATGAAAATATATAAAAATATAATATTTCAGAAATGATGTACATTTCTAAAAAATAATCGAAATAGGCGATTTTAGATGGAAAAGATCGTGTGTAACACTTTGTTAAAATTTAGAATATACAAAAAGAATTGATAACCTAGGTATTAAAATATTAATGAAGGTAATTAGCGATATTGTATGAGAATAGTAGCTGATGTGTAAATAGTAATTAAATATAAGAAAAAAAAATTGTAAAAACCTATATAAAGTATATATTTCTTAAAATGTTGAAAACATATTGTACATAGATGTACAGGTAGTTGGAAATATAGATACTCTATAGAACAGATCGGTCATGATGCAATTTTGTTTATATGTTTTTTCTTTTCTTTATTTCACCAAACTGTAGCTGTTAGTGAAACTGTTTCTCAATCACAATGTGAATGAGGCGAGTTGAATGGCCAAGCAGTTAAGGGAGGGGCGGCACGACCTACAGCCATAATATCGGCACTGGTTCAAACGGTATGCTCGCCTATGGTTCTAGAGATGGAACAAGTCTTCTTGACTAAGGACTATAATCCGTAGGCCCAGTGTACACAATTGGCTGATGTGCACTATATAAAACCCAGTAGGCCTACATCTTTCGAGATGAGTAGGGTTTACACCGGTGTACTGGTCCATCTCACAGCCCCTGTTCACATCCAGATGTTGAACAGGCGTTGATGATAGAATTAGAATTATAATAGAATAATAAAGTTAACCTATATCTGTAATCAGTAAAAATATCAATAATAATGAGGATGTCAAACTGATACTTCTAAGAAGGAATAAAAAAAGCATGCTTTTTATATATTTTATTAGCACATCATTATATTTTACATATTATGACTTCATCTAGAAATCTATCAAATGATAAATATATATAATATGCAGTCACTACAGTATAAGCTTTATGTAAAAAATAATATTAACTTCATTAGAATTCATCTGGTCAATAATATGATTAAATACAAAGATATTGTCATTTTTTAAGTGGCTAATCAATGGAACTGCATTCTATATACATTCTCATTATTCTTTTGCAATACATTTTAAGCATTTAAAGGCTGCTTACCCTTTAGCACTGGGTATGTAATATGCACTCATATTGATTTTCCACTATGGACGATGTGTAAAAGTAAATCAAATCAATCAATTAATCCATCAATAAATCAAAAAGAATGTACTGTATAGCACCAAAGTTGCAACAAATTTTAAGCATTTAAATGCTGCTTTACCCTTAGCATTGGGTATGTACTATGTACACATCTTGATTCTCCACAACAAGTTATCCAATATGGACGATGTGTAAAAGTAAATCAAATCAATCCATCCATCAATATATCAAAATGAATGTACTGTATAGCACCAAAGTTGACAATAAATAATCTACTGCATATGAAACCTAGTTAAATATTGGAATGAATATTGGTGAGGGGGAGGGTTGTACAGTAATTCCCACAAGATTGGGTTTAGGATAGTAGGTGATTGCCACACCACCACAAATTGTGGTGATAAATTTATACCAAAATATTGTCATGTTCAAATCAGATGGAAAGTGATTTGTCAATAAATGTATATTAGTATGACACCTATTAAAAATTAATTTTTAAAAACTGATTTATGTATCAAACACCACACTGTTTATACTGCACTTTTTCATTTTAAGTTCCAATTGTTTTTATATCTGGGGTAAGTGATTTTACCTCGATTTGCCTTATCAAAATTAAATACTAATACAAGAAAATCTTAAATTCTTTAAATTTAGAAATATTAGATTTGAGAAATAAAAGTATGAAGAATTATCAAGCTCCAACAGGTAAACGAAAACCTCAAGGTTTATATAAATCTCTTAATGCCCACTTTTTTTTTTATTGTTTACAACATCACAGCATTTTTTTCATTTCTCTCATATTGTTAAATCCATTAAAATTGCAAGTTTCAGGAAATCTTAACTGTTTAATGTTCTTGTTTTCTATTTGGAGGTCTTTATGCTTGAATAAAGTGATATTACTCTAATCCCGTGAGATTACTGTGGGATTACAACAGGAAGTGGTGCTGCAAATGTAAAAAAGATAAAAAAAAATGAATACCACAATATGGGTTATATACTATAAACCAAGCAGTAACGAAACACCTATGACCTTAAGGGGCCCTAGGATATTTATTGGTATTTATATTTGCCAGAAGCATGGGCCTCAAGTCTGTCGAACAGGGCCACAGCAGAAAGTTAATAAATATTACAAACTACACCTCTAAAGGGTAACAAATGACAACACGTTCGGAGGCTTTTCCCTTACCCGACTTGGGCCATATGTAGCCCCTCTGAGTCCTGAGGGTAGTAAAGCCTGTGGAAGCCTTATCCTGGGGTCTCTAGTTAAATGCTCTTTGTACATCTAATATCGAAAATAAAGCATCTTAATTTTCTTCATAATTATATATAAATCATTAATGAATAAAAAACTAAATAACATACTGTATACTACAATAAATGAACTAGGATAAAAAATATTATTTTTTAAATTTTAGTATTTATATGATCGTTCTCTTTGGTCTCATGGAGATGAGCTGTATCTACGATAGTACTCTAAGCTACGGCCTATAGATTCGTCATAGCCATAAACCGGTATGTATCCTAATTCCTTCTTGGCTGAGTAGGAATTATAATAGAAAACTGAGTTAATATACCATACCACATGAGTTGTGAAAACCGGATTAATCAGATTGAAAGGTTGCAGAATCCAAGCCAAAAGCTCAGTAATAAACGCTAATAGATATAAAAACCAATATGGAAGCGTATACGAAGATGTCTTAATCCCTAAATCTTCCAGAAATGGACTAAGGAATTCATTTAAGCTAGTCACAGGTGTTTCATCAGTGATAAAATAAGCCTGTCCGGTGAGAAATTTGGGGTTACGCAGCATATTTGCTGCGAGTACAAGCGCAAATCCAGCATTACCTGCGTACAGGTGTTGCAGTTTAGAAGATTTATGAGACACACGCATCATCTTTCCACTCTTTTTTGCTGCTTTTATCTGTACGCTAAAATTAGGGTCGCCTTCACCGTACATTGGAGGCAAGCGTAACGCGCATGTTTTCAGCTTCTTATTGTCTGCGAGAATCAGATTGTTGGCCTGTAGAATTATTTTCTCTGATTTATACTTGGTCTCAGCGTATGGACCGAAGTTGTGAGATTTAGGGATTGCAACCGTTGATTCTGTCCCGTTAATTATTGGTTCACTTCCGATAACTACGTCAACAGTACTTGTGAAGACCAGGATGCTGATGTTGTTGTCAACACATGCTTTCAACACATTCTCGGTTCCTTAGAAAAAGCAAAAATGGAAATAATATTCCTACAGTAAGGATGCCTGCCTTAAGCCCTATGCATACTATACCACAGTTTTACCACAAGGAAACTTAGGTAATGATATTGTGAGTGGTAACATTAGAGAGAAATATTGATGGTACAAGTTGTACCTTAGATTAGTATATTCTCTTTGATAAACATGCTGCATTTTGATCCAATTTCAGTAAATCTTCATCAAGCACTCATTTGGAAGCAGATCAAAAAGACGTATTATTGTTTTTTTGTCTTAAAATAGAATTTACTAATCTAACATATTGATATGGGATGAAGATTTTATCAATTCAATGGCAACTTAAGATACATTTTTATTTAGTGATTTTGGGAAAGCATACTAACAAGTGCTGCTCACAAATTTGTTAGATGCAAAAAAATAAAATAACATATAGTACATTCACTCTTGACTTAAATATATAGACCACTTTTGCGAAATTTGAAATGACAATTTCTTTTAACCTGGTAACTACCACTGAGGGACTTCCAGAGGCCTAGCATTTCGCTCTACTTAGTTACTGTCATGGAGTAAATCAACGATAAAACTAAATTACTATCGAGCACAAATATTTTAAAACGGAAAAAAAACATGAAATGTTTATATTCAGAACAAGTCTTATGTCTTAAAAAGCTAACTCAATGTTTACATATACAACAAATTTACAGTAATTAGCAAGATTGCACTGTTGTTTACTGCTGTTATAGCACAGGTCTACCGGCGCTATCCGCTGCATGTTGCTCTATTCCTAACTAGCCAGCTGCTCATGCTAGGCCACTGGAAGTCCCCCAGTGAGTTGCGGGACTTTGGCGGCGCTGCTTTAAAATAAATCCGAAAAAATAGTCTATAAAATACATATAAAAAATAATTGGAATCTCAATAAACATAAACAAAAACTAATATAAAATGCAAAAATAGTTAATATTAACAAAATGATAGTAAAATAAAATTTAAAAAAATTAAAGTTTGAATAAAAGAATGACACAGTCACCAAAAATATGATACACAATAAATAAATAGATTATTTACAAACTTAAAAAAAGTTAAAATACAGATGTTTTAAAAAAAGAAAAGAAAACATTAATTTACCTGTTACATTAACCAAATTTAGTGAATGCACATTAGGGCAAGCTGTAACATCCACCTTTCCAGCTGTGTGAATTATAATTGTAGCTCCTTCACATGCTCTGCGTATATCATTCAGGTCTGTGATGTCTCCGCTAATATGCCGAAGCTGAATGGCGGTATCTTTCACTAAATTATAAAGAAAATAGTTACCAGAATATTTAAAAGCAACAGTTAAAAAAATTTATTTCTTTTCTTTGCTCACAAATAAAAACATCTCAATTTCAGAGCCTTGTAGTTTATGATATAAAGCTCCAATATACCTGCCAACTTTGTTGTCTGATGTGCGAGACAAAATACAGTAAGTACATTTGTATATAGCGCCCTCTATGTAATGAGAACCCTCTATTTTTTTCAAAATTTAAAAAAATTAATTAATAATGAAATTGCTATGGATTACAGTCCTTGGTAGGTACAGCTTTGTTAAAAGAATTTTATATGGCCTGTAATCACATTATTGATGAATTCACTTTTATTTTTATTGTAGCATAAGGGTACAATCAGCTTAGGCCTCATTTTATGTTTTATAAACATTTTTATGATTTGTGAGATAATACAGCATAAATAGGCATGTGATGTATAAAAGTGGAGGCTCATGCGCAAGACTCACGCATTATGCGTGAGAGTTGGTAGGTGTACACCAATCCACCATGTAATAACTGGAGGGTATTTTGCTGTTTGATGTGAAATAATAAAATAAAAAGGTATCAAAACAAAATTTTATATAAATATAATTTGCCATGATAAACAAAAAGAACATTGGTAAGGAATATTAAAAAACTAATGAACATACCTTCCAATTCATCCACCCATGTGAATACAGGTCGTAGGTCATAGGTTCGCACTTCTTTCACTGGAAATTCTTCTTGCTCTAACAGTTGCTTGACCACATGCTGACCAACAAATCCACAACCACCAGTAACCAGGACAACTTCACCCTCATCTGCCATGACAGATTTATCGTATTGGTATTTCTTTAAATCTGTGAATTACATAAATAAAATTTTTATAAAAATACTGTTTCAAAAAAACTTTCAAAACATTATTTAAAAAAAATGTAAACAATGGTGACATAGGCTAAATGCCTAAATAAACTAATTGGAAAAGTTAGTTTTACCGTCTATTTATTTTCTTTTTAAAAAACAGATATTACCGGATTAGTAGTGGCTGCATAAGGGTTGGGGCGGGGAAATGGTTTACTCAGAACTGTCCCTCGCACACTGGCCTGCCATTCTTATTTTAATTTCACTGCAATTCATTCAAGAAATCATATGTTACTCCCTCTGCATAGAAATCAGGATTCAAAATAAAAACACCTGCTCCCAGATCAACTTTACAACTTCTTGGATCATTAAGCGCATAGGCCTAGCTAGGCGGAAATACCTGTCCCATGGCATGTGTCCGAATCACTGGACACAGTTCACACGGTTCAGTTTTTTTGACAGTTCAGTTGGCGCTCTGCTAGGAACAAACTTTGACCAGCAGGGATTCGGATGATTCTGCACATTGTAAGTATTACACTATGCCTAAAAATAATAAAATATGACTACGGTTATTATCTAATGAATTTGACAAAATGATAGTACAAATTAATCAATTACCATAACAGAAGTCATTCAACGCCACCCCAACACCAAATCAAAACTTTACACACTGTGACACTGGCGTAGGTATGGGAGATATTCCGGTATTTACTCTCACCCACCGCACAGAAAATCATGCCGGTTCGCAGTGAATCAAGACTTACGTATTTTGCCACGCTCTGGCAACGTCATTGAATTTGTGGGTTTGTGACGTTTTCCACAAGGGGTTCTTTTGATCTGTATAATTTAAAGTATTTTTTCATGTTTGAACAGCTTAAAACAATGATGGACCCTGGCGCAGAAGGAAGTGCATTTATGGTAGGTTATCAAAATAGGTAACGTCTTAATTTTGAATTTTCTGAGTGCAGCTAGGCTAGGCCTAGCCTGCAGTGTGGGTAGAGATGGGCCAGACTACTACTCTAGTAGGCCTACCTAGGCCCTAGGCCTAGCTAGGCCTAGCTAGGCCTAGGCCCCTAGCCCACCTAGCTAGCTAGGCCGAGGCCTATGGCTCTAGCTAGGCCTAAATAGAGTAAGATAGGCCTGGTACCAGCTAAGGTATATTACAGTATAGTAGTAGTTTGGTTTTTCCGGTTGTGTTCTTCGTTGGTTTTCCTCCTACCTTTCATCTCGTACTCAGGCTGTACGAATCGATAACTGTTTGTCACCCGCTGATAAGCCTCTACCTTATATATGGTGTCCCACAGGGATCGGTCTTAGGACCGCTGCTTTTTACCCTTTACATCACATCGGTTGCTAATATAATCTGTAATCACGGAGTTAAGTTCCATATGTACGCTGATGACATCCAACTCTATGTCCCATTTAACCCCAAAAATAACTGTGTCTGAAATAAAACTGTGGATGTTTCAAAACAAACTCAAACTAAACGAATCGAAGACCCAATACATTGTATTCCACTCTCGCTTTGCTGATCCTAAGCCCTTTTTCCCACCTATAATACTCTAGGTACAGCTGTCCTTCAGCCGTTAGAATCTGTTAGAAACCTTGGTGTGATTCTCGATCAACATCTAACTTTTAAAGATCATGTTTAGCTCAGTTTGCAAATCTGCTAATTTCTACATCCATAACATACGTAAGATTAGAAGATTTCTTGATTTGAAATCTACTGAAATACTTGTGCATGCTTTAATTTCATCTAGGCTTGATTTTTGTATCTCTCTACTTTTTGGAATCTCTGAAGGACTCGTTAAACGTATCCAGCGCACCCAGAACACTGCTGCTAGGATATGCACAGGGGCGCTAAAATATGACCACGCTTCTCCCCTACTTCATAAACTTCACTGGTTGCCAATCAAGCAACGAATTGTTTTTAAATTGTTAGTTCTCACCTACAAAGCGATATGTTCTAGTCATTCGTCCTACTTAAATGCCCTGCTTACTAAGTATACTCCATCTCGCCGTCTCCGTTCATCTTCTCGAAATCTCCTTTCTGTTCCCAAATATTCTACCAAAAGCTATGGTCAATGCTCACTCTCCTTTGCCTCTGCTTTTCTTTGGAACCAGCTTCCTATTAATACAGTACATATAACTACTTCTTCTAATCTCTGCAACTTTAAATCGCAAATTAAGACCATATTGTTCTCCGAGGGTATCACACTTGCATAGTGCGCCTTTGATCTTTTTTCGAATTGGCGCCTTATAAATTCCTGATATTATTATTATTATTATTATTAGTAGGCTAAGCCTCGCCTCTCTAGTCTAGACTAGGCCCTTGGCCTAGGCTTGGCGGGAGCCAATCATAATCAAAAATCAAATTATTTCTTTCTATAATAATTGTAATATTGTTGACTGTGACTGTTATTGATGTTACACCAGTATTTAAACAAATTCCTTTTTAATTCTGATTGTATGTTAAGTGTTATTCCCTAATTCAATCCATACATGTAACATACAACAAGAAAATCCAATCAGAATTAGGAACTCAAGTAAGACTGGTGTAGCAATAGTCACTGTCTACATACAATGTATATTATTACACACTGCAACTTGAGTGACTATAACTTTATTTATAACATCACCCTGAAAAGTGAACAATCAATAAAGGCTGTGGGTTCTAATATTAATATTATTTACAGTAAATAGTTTTTAATGTTTCATATGGGGTTTATTGGTATGGTAATATTGGTCCGAGGTGTTGAGCTGGCTTAACCCTGACTTCAGTCTTGTTATTTCAATGCACTATGGCATATTGGAAGAATATTTGTTGTGTATTATTTAATCACAAATATTGTGTTACTGTTTGCAAAATTACTGCAACTTGTTAACAATGCATTTTTTGGCTTGTCAATGTCAAACAGTTGATGATTGATTATAGGGTATTGATTGATTGATGATTAGGCCCTACAGTACAAAAAAAATATTAGTATATCACCCTATCTAGGCTGGAAAAGTGATGAGGGAGGGGGAGGCTTTTATTTTTATTTTGCTAAAGCCAAATATCACCTAAGGTTGTTTGCTGCAGTGCATTGATATTTAAAGAAAAATACATGATTGACATAAACAATATCTACTAATTATTTACTAAAAAAATGAAAAATAAAAAATTTTTCCAAAAAAAAAAAAAAAGAAATTCAATTTTTTAAAAAATACAACATGATAGAAGACATGCGCTCAAGGGTGATAAACTAAACATTTGTTTTTTATTGGTAATTAATTACAGTCTTAAAGAAATGCCTTCCCTTGACTCATCAATTTTTCTATAATTCCGTTTAGACACACCCTTCAGTTCGTATTAAAGGGACTGAGCTGGAATGGACTGCAGAAATATGTAGAAGCCAAGACTGTCAGGGAATTGTTTCGAAGGGTCAACATATGCACTGTCCATTTTGTCCTGTAAAGTCTATTTTCACTGACCCATTCTTGTTGAGGGCGCACTATAGAGTGAAGCATGTTGACAAAGGAGTGGACTTTGCTGGTGAGTAGTAAAATGAAGGTGACACTCAAACAAAAAACCCAATTTTAATAAGCACAAGAAAAAACACTGAATTAATAGTACACATTCAAATATGATATATTATTTACCTTTAATAATAATAATAAATATTAATAATAAAATGATTTATGATGAGAACAGCCCCACCACAACTCCTAGCATTACAATATATATAATAACAAACGACAAAATAATTTAACAGGAAAATGAGGAAGAAATCCAAGCACTACCCAGCTAGGCATGTCATTCAACCTTGGTTTAAAAGGCACTGGAACTAAACAAACAATAGGCATAAGATCCTCCAGAAAACCTCAGTATTGCACCTCAAGAAATAAAAATTGTGATGAAAACATGTCTCATGAAGATTTCACTATTTTATTGGAAGCATCTGCATGTTCACAAGTTTTCTTTCTTGTCAAATATGGCCCACAATAGTAGTGCATGGATAATAAATAGTGTTTATCATCAATTTTTGTAAAATGATAATAATTTATAAAAAGAATGCGTGGCGCAAAATATTAAATTGTTAGAAAAAAGCATGGCACAAAGCCAATTAATCTTTACAACAAAAGGTGTGACATTAATAAATTGTTTTGAATTTTTAAATATGATCTTTTAAGTGTTGCTGAATTAAATACATATTAATAAGAAAAAATTAATGTAAATTTAGATTTATGCCATACAGTAATGTCCTTGTTTAGTTAATAAATGCCTTTAATTTTCTATGAGAAAATACATTTTATCTATCAGTTTTCTTGTTATATACAGTAGCTGTAGATTTCATTGTTGTTAGCAGCTTTCATTTTCAATCGTTTAGGCCTACGGATCTTGCGCTGTTCCAATGACTGCTTCATTCAAGGAGTCATCAAAGAAGAGAAGAAGTTCAAAGGTGCACACTGGCATTGCTTCCGATGCAAAAATGCATTCAATCGCAAGGATGAGGCCCTCAAGCACTTCAAGACACATTTCAAAAATCCTGCCACCACATTTCAAATACAGATAGCACAGGTAAGAATTTACAGTACTACTATCTTTTCTGTGTTGGTTTGTAACTGGGTTGCTTTTTGTTTAATTGATGGGTCTTTACTTGTCTTTTAAATAATCTCTTTAATTCTTTGTGCAGCCGAATAAGTCAAGTACTATAAGTTTAGACCTGATCACAGGGTAAAAAAACAAAAGGAAGGTGTAAAATGAGCAAAATAGTAATTACAACATCTCTGTGTCAGCTGTTAACATGTCACCTAATACTACTTTATCTGTGGGTGAGGTCCAGATTTCATCTATAATGTTATTATTATCATAATATTTAATAGGATTTATATAGTGCACATATCCAGAAAACTGCACAAGGGGATTTTTTTCCTGGTCAATGGATACAGAATCAATCATACGCAATGTGCAACCTCCTCCGCTCCCTGGGGAGTATTCCTAGTTATGCGTGTAATCAGCACTTAATTTCTCTCCCAACTTACCCATTTATACTCCTGGGTGAAGAGAGGCAAATGCAGATGAAGTGTCTTGCCTAAAAACACATGCAGTGTGACGAGCATTGATCTTGAACCCCGACCTTCTGATTGAAAGCATTACCCCGGAGGCATTTTAGAAAAAAAATATGTTTTTTTTTTCTTTTTCTTTTAAATTTGATACTAAATTGATACTGTTTTGCTATAATGGTGTAAAGATAACATTTGGTGCTGGAGGCATTTTATCAAGACAATTTTCATGGTTGGAAAAACAAAATATTTTTTCCAGGCCTGTTGCCATTATTGAGAAAATTCATAGGATTTATATTTATATCATCTTGTCATTGATCGAGTTCCTAGTCCACATATCAAGCTCCCTGAGCATCTTACATTAGATGGATGTGTGCGCTATATAAAACTACACTATTATTTATTATTATAAAATGGATGTAAACAAAACTATTGCATTGGGTATAATAAAAGATTTGTTTTTAATTTGTTCTCTTCGTAATAAGGATATCAACCAGCCTAATATTTTAGACATGTACAATAAACAGAGCGGCCCAATGAGTTTCCGAATGTACGCCAAGTTGAACACGAGAGCCAACCTACAGCAACGGTTGCAGAGCTTCCAAGAAACTGTCATCGATGTTGAATCTGCTGTTACTGATGAGGATAAGGAAGAATACATCATATCCGAAGCACATGAGGGCACTGTTGGTAAAGTTGCATTACTGTGTAATCATATAAGAAAGTATAGTGCATACTCCAAGTATTGAAATACACGCCATCGTGTTGGTATTCTGTGGCGTGTATTTCAATACACAATACACGCCATATGTATTATGCTTTCTTATCCAAGATTAATCAGTGGAACTTTCGGTACATTCATATTGTTTGTTAAAAACTCATTTAATCAAAGTTTAAGTAATTAAATTGAAATTTCTAAGATATTTGATTTTGAACTGGAACCTTAAATGATTTTCATATATTTTTCTGTTGTCCAATTAAATATTTTCTTTTTTTTTTTAATTGTAAATTTCAAAATTTACATCAGTACAAGAATTGACAATTGATTTCTTAATACTCCTTCTCAAAAAGTAAAATGAATGTTTAATTGATAAATCTATTTTGTTATACAAGAAGTGGACGTCTATAATTTTTTAATATGATTGTTTTAATTTTAGCCATATATATGAGTAATAAGCCTATGCAAGATATGGTCTTTACATTATTGTTCCTTTATTCGAGCACTGTTTTACCAATGTTAGATTATTTAATTAATCAGTTAAGACTAATATTTTAAAGACAGTGTTAGAGTTTGAATTTGTTTGTCAATGAAGTGATGAAAATTGATCCAACAATGGTGTCCAAATGCAAGTAAGAAAACAGAAGTCCCTTTCTTTTCATTCTTAGTTGACAATGGTGAAATTGTTCTGATTACATCTGAAAAACCAGATGGAATGAGAAAAACGGAGGAAATAATTGAAGCATTACAGAAGCAGGTGAATACATTAGTAGAAGAAAAGGAAGATATGGAGAGGCACTTCCAAAATAAGGTACTGCATTGAATACTTGCGCTTTTGTGTATTATTGTGTGTGATTAATGATTAGACCAAAACAAATTTGTTGTAGGACCTCTTCCATAAAAAAATTACATTCCTTTTTCTTTATTTTCAAAAATGTACCCCTTAATTCCTCATCATAAAATTGGAGAAATGTAATTTCCAAAATTGAAATATAATATCACTCACCAGACATCTTCAAAATCAGACAAAATCTTTAGATTTTGTAATGTTATGGTTATCCCCAATATGTTTGTCTGTGATCTGATATTGTTATATAATTAACATGGATATTAGGCTGTGTCATATAATAAGATGTGGATGAAAATACTTTTACAAATAATTACATTGATTTAATAGGAGAAAATATAATAAAATTATGTCATGGATATACAAATAGTTAAAGTTGTATTTGTAAATTCTGGATTGTATAACAACAAACATAAATAGAGGCTTTGTATGCGACTGTAATTAAGGATTTACATTTGGAAAATCCATAAAATATGCACTGTGGGTTTTCACTGTAACTGCATTTATTTTTTCCTTTATTCAATTGTCTAATAATCATTCTGTGTTTTGGTTTTATACAGATTGAAATATTGAATGAAGAGAAGAAGCTGCTGCGCCAACAATTAGATTCACTTCAGCAGGGAATCCTGAGCAAGATGCCAGCCTCTGTTCTCCTTGAGTCGCAGTTTATTGCTCGAAGTTTAGAGCAACAGTTTAAAGACTTTGTCCAGTTTAACATGAGCAAACTGAGCCAGTGTTTCCTTGGTATGGCGTCATCAGAGTTGTCCATGAACCATGTGGAAAATAGTCAAGAAGGACTTTATAATGTCACAATACAGTCCCGTAATGAGCCAGGACAAGATTTTGTAAATTCAGATAATGTAACCTCGCATGAACTTGTACAAAATGTTATCACAACTGAAGACTACGTGCATATTGATGGCGTAACATCACAGGTGATCGGAAACAGCTCTTGTGTGGTCTCGCAGGATGTCAGTCATCTTGACTCCAATGGCAGCATATCAGAAGACTTTCAACAGAGTGGTGTAATGACAACACAAGAATTGATTCAAAATGGTTTGACATCACATAATCTGCAGCAGAATGTGACATCACAGGAATTTGGACAGGACTCCATTGAAGATCATCAGGAAGAACATATTGATGTTGGAATGCATCAAGATCCAACAGCCACACTTGTTCTAAATGTAGAAACCACTGGCCAAGATGTTCCAGATAAGGAAAGTATAATGGATGGAACTGCAGGGAATCCACCTGAGAATATTGCCAATAATAGCATTCAATACATCACTGCATCTGCAGAAGAGATACTTGACATCAGTGTGGTGCAGAACTCTTCCAATGTGCCATCAGCACAGTTCCAAGTGTCCATTAGAGAAACCAGTAATGACCAGCCTCATGAACAAAGCATCACACAGAAAAGAACATACCAAGGTAGAAGTACACCACCGGTGACTAGAAAAAGAGGCAAGACAAATTAGTTGAAGAAGTAATAGAATGGTGATGACTTGGCAGACCTTGGGGTATGGGCGCTGTCAAAATGTTGAATTCCCTTTGAAACAGCCTAATCGGAACATGTATACATTAGCCAGGATTATGCGCATGTCAAACGAGCAAGTTTGTGTACGTTTATGTTGTTAAAGGTCTCGCACCTTAGCAAAAATATGGAGCTTTCGATGTCCACAATAGTGTGACGCTAGAACGGATTCACTCATGCATGACTGTCCTACGTTCTATGCACTACGTAGATTTGACCAAATTGCATTGTAGAATCCATGTGACCGCAAAAACTTAATGTTATTGCATGTACAGATGACTTTATTTGACGTTATTATGTTCGACGTCTGACTGTTGTCGTGCAATCGATCAAAAGCTCCAATAGCCATGGTCCACTGTGGTCCCATCCAACCCTGTTTGTTGCTAACTATTGCCGAATAGATTTCCTATGTACTGTCAGTGCATCTAAGGCATAAACTTGTGAGGTTTTACTTTTAAAGATATTCCACTTAAAACAGTGAGAAAAAACTTTTGCTTATTTATAAAAAAACTAATCACATGCATTATCACATTTTATTCTAAATGGTGTTTTTGTCAGAAGATTCAATAGGAGATTCAATAGGAATGATGTTTTGCTCAAGCTTGGTCATCTGATGGTTAAGACACCAGGCAAGTTATCTGGAGGTTGTGGGTTCGATTCCCACCCGAATCACTTGCAAATTTTTTTTTCCTCCAGTATTTGGGACCGTACTGAGCATTCACTATGATAACATGTCAGTAGGGCAAAACATCATTCCTATCTTCACATTTTCATGTGGTTTTAAATGATTTACAGCCATTTTACTACACCCAATTGCCCTTAAATTTACTGGAAAAAATATAAGGATACAGTATATGCAAAGACATGGAAAATTGTCATTTAAAGGTGAGAAAAGAATGTTTTTGTTTTTATTTCCAGTTGGAAGTTAATAACTTACAAAGTAAGAAATTCATTAAAAAAATATTTTGTGAATAATATGTTTATTATAGGAGTGGAGTTGAATAGCTTGGTGGTTAAGATGCTTGCCTTCCAATCCCAGGGTGCTAGGTTCGATTCCTGTCACGGCAACAGGATTTTTTCTCATGATCAAATCCTCATAATGAGACTTGGTTTATATACAACAACTTGTTTACTGTATTTGTTTGTGTCTTGTAAAAGTATTGCCACTTTGGCATATCCTTGGCCTTGAGCCTAAAAATGTATAAATAAATAGATTTATGTGGCAGTAAATATTTTAATATTTATTGCACTGAAATGAGTTTTCGAAGATATAGTAATTTTTCTGCCAATTTTAAGCTAATAGCCCTGTAATATAAATATTAGTAGCAAGAGGTGTACACTTGTATACTGCATATTGCTGGGTCTTAGTTGTCTTGAAATGGTTCTGTAAGTGGACAAAATATATGAGTACCGTAATGACCAAATAAGCATCAAGAAACTTATATAATTTTGGTGATTTATTTTCAGGCAATTATTGAAGAGGAGTGCTTTCAACAAATTATTGGAGCATAAAAATGTACCCTGTGTTGTACATATGCTTATCTGATTTGTTAGAATGTTATTTACGTCAGAAAGAAAGATTATATTCTCTTGAATAATTGCCACAATGTGAATTTCTCACGTCACTTTTATTCTACTTCAATGAATTAATTTTATTTAAAATAGAATGTAAGCGATGCAAAAAATTTATGTTTGGTGTAGCACTTATTCGAGAATAAGAACTTATTTGATCATTACGGTAATCAAATTCAAAGACATTTATTCAGTAGGTTGCAGACAAAGCCAAAAAAATCTATCCTAGGATATTCAAACATTCCATGCTATTTGCAATTGTTAAAAGTATTACAGTCCATATATTGCAGATGTTTTTCCAGCTACAATATTTGTTTTTCAATAAGTTGTTTCTGTTATTTGTACTCTAGACAGATGTATTTATAATTTTCTATATATCACTATTATTATTAACTTCATATATTATCTACCAAGTCAATACAAAACAATATGAAAATTCGACTTTATTATTATTAATATTATAAACAATATTCATATTATTGATATTTCTTTATAGAGTTGAATGGGTGTTATTGTGAAAATAATTGTGAACAATTACGTTTATTAGTAAACTGCTACTCACATAGTGAAACTGCATAATTTGCTAAAAACATGTCAGATCAAATGCTAATCTGAAGACGGTAGTATATTCATGTGTTTTATTTGTGTTTTAATAATTCTTGCTCTATTATTGATCAAATTAGTGAACAAAGGTGTTTTGCTTATTATAATTTTTAATACTGTGTGTCAGTAATTTAATGAAAAAAAGCTTTTTATACCAAGTGTTTTCTGTAATTGAATTAAAATTCAAAGCAATAATTTAGTATCAGTATTATTTGTGTGGTTTATAATACTTATGACTAATAATTATTGTTAGAAAAGGCGGAAACAGAAGAGGTAAGTAATATGAAAATGCGTTTTTTTGTTTTTCTGTTCACAATACGTGTCGGAAGATGGAAACAAGAATTGGGATAACATACAATTTATTTTCTTTGTTAGATAACTCAATTTCTATACATATTGAAGTATACATATTATAAAATGCAAGATAAATACTTTAACTGTACCTGGAAAACTGAAAAATAATCCACATTTAGCAGTACAAATACAATTTACAAACATCTATGTATTATTACATTGCAGTTTCCTGGTAAATGTCAACTGGGGAGCAGGTCAAAACGGCAATGACCAAAACGGCAATAACCCAAAACGACAATGATAAGTACCAAAACGGCAACAGACCGAAACGGCAATGACAACTACCAAAACTGCCAAGGAGCAAAAATGAATGCCAAGAATAAAAGCGCCACCGGGCGCGGGCAGCAGTTTATAATTTTCTGAATGGTGTTTTGTTTTTTGTTAATGTTTTTTTTTTTTTTACACATCCATGACTAGGCCTATATTATTTTAAAGTGTTATTTATTATTATTTTTTTTTCTTTCCCGTTTTTTACTTTCATGGCAAAATATTGTTTAGCCTAATTTTATCTGTATTTTTAAGCTTATTGCTAATCCATATTAGCAATAAGCATAATTCCTGATGGTGACATAATTAATGTCGAAATATTGAATCCCAACACGATAGCGTGCATTTCAATACTTGGAGCATGTATTATACGTTCTTAAGTTTTTAATTATTTAAATGTTCACTGCTTTTATATTTTATATATTACATTGTGTTCCCCAATCTTTTTACTATTGAATTGTATTGT